AAAAGCCAGAAATGGTCCATCTTAGTCTCCCAATTTAATTCTTTACTCTTTGTCAGAAAAAAGAAATTTGGATATAAAAATATTTCGCAGTTGCGACTTGAGCCTGCTCTATGCCCCTAGTTGGGGGCGGCAAGGCAAGAGATATTGTAAAAAGAGTAAACTGCAGTATGGCAGTTGAAAATGTCAAGGTGTTCACAATTGGTGCTCTGGAGAACAGAACAATTCAAGTACCAGGTCCTCTTAACAGAAATCACAGAATAACAGAGCTGCTGGAAGGGACCTTGGAGGTCTTCTAGTCCATCCCCTGCTCAAGCAAGCGGACCTTTTACCAGGGGTGTCCAAACTTGGCCACCTCAAGACCTGTGGACCATCTCCAAAAAGTTTCAGTGTTACCAAATCCTTATTGTTTGGGTGGACATTTGTTCAGGGAAAGCTCACAAAGCATCAGAAAACCATGACTGCCTTCGGTTGGTTTCAGAGCAGCTTTTCTCCACCCCTGCACCTGCTCCTGGAGCCCAGGTGCCATATAATTGTGAAAATCATGGTTCCTTCTCCAAATCTTAAGGGAATTTGTCCAACTATCACCGCTGAATCCCTAAACGTGGAGAGCAGCCTGCTGCCACATATTGAATATTGCCTGATATTCAGTGAGCCAATGTGGTTAGATAGAGATCTGGAGAGGCAACCAAGATGTAAGATCATGGCTTGCTTGTAAAGATGTGATTGCACTCTAACTTTTTTTTTGAGAGAGGTCTATTCCCTGAAATGTTACCAAGTTTTGCCATGAGGACAAAACTGCTCCTCTTACTATGGCTACTGCTTCTGCTGCCCACCAGAGTCAATGGGAGAAAATGCCCTCTCAACTTCACCAAGGATCGGGATACAGTGTACCATTATTATCGCCCAGGAGATCTCTTGCTTGGTGGGATTGTGCCTCTAAGACCAGGTCAGCTTCTCCCAGCGAGCTTTCGGGAGCCTCTCTTTAACCAGCCAACTGTGTAAGTAGACTTCCAGAGTGCAATTTGTGCTCTTTTGCATGGAAGAAGCTTTCAAGGATATCTAATGTTCCTCTTCATCAGGAATAATCCTCGGGGAAATATTTTCTGTTTTGCCTCTTCTGCTTCTGGAAAGAAGAATCCGAGACTGACTAAATTCTGAGTAGTAATAGTAGTAGCACTAGTAGGGATACAGTCAGAATGGATCACCGAAGTTATTAATCAAACATCTTGCTCAACTGCAAGATCTGATAAAGCACTGAATGAATATTAAAGTTGTGTTATTTTTGTGTCTTTATGCAGGAAAGGCTATCCGTCATACTGGTTCCTTCTCTCTTTTCTTTTTGCCATCCGTGAGATCAACCAGAATCCCCAGGTTTTGCCGAATGTCACCCTGGGTTATGACATTTACGAGAACTATTATGAAGCGAGAATGACTGCTGATGCCTTGGCAGACCTGCTCTCCACTGGACAGGCAAATGTTCCGAACTACATTTGTGGAAGAGAGAAGAGGCTGCTGGCTGTGATTGAAGGGGCCGAGTCTGACATTTCCATGCAGATATCCACCATGACGAGCCTCTACAAAATGCCACAGGTATGACTGGAGATGGGAAGAAAAGCCAAGTCTGGATGTGTCCTACCCAGGAAAATGTCATGACCATCCAGATATCATCACCAGGAAAATGTCTTGGCACTTAAGACCTCTCAGCCATCCAAATATTAGGGCACTGACTCAGAGAGGACACTGGAACTGAATTTCTCCCCTGCCTTCGGTTACCCTTCAAAAGTATAGAATACTCATCTCCAAATCTTCATTTGAGATCCTCCAGAGAGGCTATTTCTGCACATTTTAGAAGCACAGAATAGAAGTAATATTGGAGATCATATAATCCAACCTCTCCCCAGTACAGGAATCCACTCTTAAAAGCATCCCTAAAATATTACCATCTAGCCAAAGTGAAAATAGGCACTCTGTTCCACTGTGGAACTAACCATTGTGGAACTCCTCTTATCATTACCGAACTCTTCCAGTTCATACATTGTAACAGATGAATTGGACAGCTGAGGCAACTTACTCCATCACTTCACCTAAGGCAGAAATCAGCTATTCCAGCATCTGAGAAAGTTTGTTCTCTTAGATTTTGGTGGAACACCTATAATGATCTATAGCCACATCAATATTTACATTTATATCTCTGTGAAAGTGTGCTTGTGTATGTGCACATTAATGATCTTCCATCAAAAGATCAAACCCTGTTAATTTTGACCTGAAAATATTTCCATTCTTATAAGGTCAGCTATGGATTTGTGTCTGAAACTCTCAATGATAAAATTCGGTTCCCATTCATCTACCGAATGGTCCCCAAAGAAGATTACTTGTATTGGGGAATTGCCAAATTGCTCCAACATTTTCGGTGGAATTGGGTCGGTCTCCTTGCACCAGACACTGAGAACGGACAAAGATTTCTACGGACTATGAACCCCATATTAACCAGGAACACAATTTGTGTAGCCTTCTCTGTGAACATTCCAACATTGCACTGGAAAATGAGGCTATTGAGCAATGAACCGTTTCACTTGTGGAACAAGGTCAGTGTTTTAATATATTATGGAGAAGCTCGCTATTTCTATAGTTTTATATGCATGATTCAAGACTATGTTCAAAGGCACATCAAGCCTTTCCTGGCGAAAGTTTGGATCACCACAACAATGTGGGACCTCTTCATGAATTTATCTTATGAAATACTGTCTCCTCAACATCACCAGGGTTTCTTCTCTTTCTTAATCCATGCTGGAAAAAGATCACAATATGTTTATGAAACATTTTTCGTCCCTATGCAAGATTTTGGCAGAAAGGCATTCAATTGTTTGTATTCCAAACACCTCTTTTCTGTGAAAGGAAGGATGAGATGCCAGGAGAACGAGGACCTGGAGACCATGCGGGAAGAGGTGGTGGAAAAAACTCTTTCTCTGGATGGCTACGGTATTTACAATCTCGCCTGGGCAGTTACTCGGGCTTCACATGCTGCTTACTTATCCAGGTCCAAGCAGAAAGCAATGAAGGAAAGAGATCACCGGCTGGTCCTTCAGATGTGGCAGGTATTTGGTTTCCTTCAAAAATCCTGAAGGTGAGCTTTCAGGCTTCAAATATATTTTCGATAGTGTGGTGAGTTTAAGATTTCAAAATCAGAATAGAGCTGGAAGGGACCTTGGAGATCTTCTAGTCCAGGCCGTTGCTCAAGCAGCAGACCCAATGCCATTTCAGACAAGTGTCTGTCCAATCTCTTCTTAAAAACCTCCAGTGATGTAGCACCCATAACATCTGAAGGTAAGCTGTTCCACTGGTTAATTGTCCTCACTGTTGGGAAGTTTCTCCTTAATTCCAAGTTACTTCTCTCCTTGATTAGTTTCCATTCATTGTTTCTTGTCTTGCCTTCTGGTGCTTTGGAAAATAAATTGACCCTCTCCTCCTTGAGGCGGCCTCTCAAATACTGGAATACTGCAATCATGTTCCCCCTAGTCCTTCTTTTCTCTAGACTAGCCATACCCAGTTCCTGCAATGTTCTTCGTATGTTTTAGTCTCCAGGCCTTTAATCATCTTAGTTGCCCTTTTTTGCACTTTTTCCAAAATCTGAACATATTTTTTGTAATGTGGTGACCAAAACTAGATGCAGTACTGGATTTCAAATCCAGACAAAACTGGATTTCAATTGTCTTCCATTTTGTGAAGTTTGTGAGACAGGGAAGCTCCCCCTCATCCTCTTTTGTCATGACTTCTGGACCAGAGTTATATGGATGGTTGCCAACTCTGCTTGGAGAACTTGGTTTTTCTTTTCTCATGTTATTCTTTTGTTTGCCCTTGTAGCTTCATCATTTCCTGGGAGATTTCCACTTCTACAATGTTTGCATGGATGGAGTCTTTCTGGATGAGAAAGGGGACCTTTCTGCCAAATTTGATACTGTGAACTGGGTGCCCTTTCCTAATAAGTCCTTTGGGGCATTGAAGTTTGGGAGGATAGATAGACCACAGGGGTCCAAAGATCTGGAATTCATCCTTGACCAGGAGGCCATAAACTGGTCCCAGAGGTTCAACCAGGTGAGCTGAGAGTCTTCATGTAATGCTCTCCAACCTCTCTTTTGTGTTTCCAGCCAGTTAGAAAATGTTTGGGAAGTGGCTGGAGCTGGGATGAAGGATTGCTCGGGACCACTATTTCCAATCAAATTGCTAGACTCCTTGGATCACTGAGTTGGACTCTATGGTCAAGAAGTCAACAGTGGATTAGCCAGATTCAGATGCTACTCGGTTCTTCTTCCTTATTTATGTTCTTACAAGTTGTGATTGTATAATTAGTTTCTATGACTTATGAAGGAAATTTCCCTTCCTTTCTTGGTAGACTTCAATCAACAGTGATAATGAGGATGATAATGTTATCTATTCAGTTGTGTCTGATCTCTAACAATTCTATGGGTCAGGTCTCTCCACATCTTCTGATCTTGCATTGTTGCTTTGAGTTTTTCTATGCTCTGTCTGGTGTCAGCTTTGATGGTGTCCAGTCACCATGTTCTTTGATGACCTGGTTTCCCTTTACTGCTAACTCTTCCATACACAATCTCTTTTTCCAGTGAATTCTTTCACACACATGGCCAAAGTAAATGTCCTTCAGACATTATTCTTTTGGGGGAAGACTTGAACTATTTTCTCTCCAGGCCTTGCAATATATTAACCACAGGGAAAAAGCTTGCCAACTGTGGTTAATTCAGTCAATATGTTTAAACAATCCTTGGTTTCATGTAATGAGTGCATCCAATCATATCCATAGCACTTAAGAGTTGTGTGATTAATAACTTTTCCCTTTGAAAGCCACCTAAATTTTGCCCATCAACACATCTTCTGAGAGAACATTTGCCCCACAGATTAATGATAGTCCCACTGAAGATGCCACTCCTTTGATTTTTCTTGAGTCTATTTTGTGTCTTCTTTCAGAAATCCCCACTGGTTCTCCTAGGATGCCTGAACAACCATCCCCACATCAGGCATTGTGTTCACAACTTTATTTTGTCCCACCCAGCCCTGCCTTTTTCTTGTCTATTGAACCCCCATAGCTGGAAGTAGGCTTGAGAGGTCATCTATTCCAAATCCGTCCTCAGCGTAGAATTCTCTGAATCATCTTTGACATCATCCAGGCTGTCTCTGAAGCAAAAGAGAGTTCATGTTACATCTGGAAAAAGGACAGTTATAGCAATAGCACTTATATATCGCTTCACAGTGCTTTACAGCCCTCTCTAAGTGGTTTACAGAGTCAGCATCTTGCCCCCACCAATCTGGGTCCTCATTTTACCTTAGAAGGATGGAAGGCTGAGTCAATCTTGAGTCGGTCAGTATCAAACTGCTGGCAGTGGGCAGAGTTAGCCTGCAATACTGCATTCTAACCATTGTGTGTTCTGCCCCGCTCACTCACATACACATAACTGTGGTTTAGTGAGTTTATTAATATTCCCCAACAATTCCCTTCACCAAAACCCAGAACTGTCCCAATTAAGTCCAGCCACGAGCAGACCAAGGTTAGTCCATAGAGCAACCTATCTTTTCCAAGTAGCTGGAAAAAAAATCCCACCCCTGACAAATGCATGCTGTTCCTTCACAGAAAGAGAAATAGACCCGGGAGAAGCAGGAAAAGATTAATGTCTTGTGATTATGGCACTATTTAATCTTCTATGATTGATGTTCCTTCTCTTTGGGTCAGTCTCTGCCTCACTCCAGATGTACCGAAAGCTGTCATCCTGGCCAAGCCAAGGTGGTCCTGGAAGGAAAGCCTCTTTGCTGCTACGGGTGTATCATGTGTGCAAAACACACCATCTCCACTCAGGAAGGTATGGAGCACTATGGGAAAAGGCAGCCCTTGAAGAATGAGGAAGAGATTTACTGAAGCATTCTATTCAGAGATATTTGGAAGCAAGCTTGCCAACCATGTGTAAGCGGTCTATAGAGAGGAACAAAGATGACCATGATGGAGATAGGAATAAAGATAAAAGGAACTAAAACACTTTTTTAAAAGAATGTAGACTTAACTCCTAGAAGCAGCTCAGAGAGACATTTCCCCAATAAATTGAACTGTAAGAAGGTGGAGGAGGCACAAGGCAATTGAATTTACAAGATTCAGTCATTAGTGCCCATCTCAGTAAAATTATTTTTAGACTTTCGGTGGAGTTGATTTTTAGGTCTGATCTTCAAGTTGGGGACAAGAGGAAAGGCAAGGCCAAAAGCCACATGGGATTGGTCAACAGAAGAAACCTACCAGCTCTGAGTTTCAAACAATTGGATGATTGCAAGATGGAAGCCAAGATTTAGTTTTCTTATCATTTTGCTGCTGTTAAGTAGGTGTCTAGATTTCTGTATCCCTCATCTGATAAGAATAGATTCGACTGGACTGAACTGGACTGGACTGGACTGGAACAGAACAGAATAGAAAATATGGACTAGACTAGACTAGACTAGACTAGACTAGACTAGACTAGACTAGAATAGAATAGAATAGAATAGAATAGAATAGAAAATTTGGAATGGAATGGAATACTTTATATTGCCAAATGTGATTAGGCACACAAGGAATTTGTCTCCTTATGTGTCTACTCACACTAGTCACACTAGTTTGGTAGTTTCCAAAGTAAGATAAATAATAATGTATTGTTATGTGACTCTGGCCACAAACAAAATTAAAATCAGGTGAAAACAGAAGTTGTGGGTGTTCCATCACTGGAGGCTTTTAAGAAGAGATTGGACAGCCATTTCTCTGGAATGGTATAGGGTCTTCTGCCTGAGCAGGGGGTTGGACTAGAAGACCTCCAAAGTTCCTTTAATTGAGTTTGGCTTGAAGCTGCGAAGCAGTGCATAGGGCACATGTTTTGTCTTCCAATGTAATGTTGTGGACAATGAGTATAGGCCAGCTGGTACTAATCACAGGATGTTAGTGTGATGTCACAATTCCAATCCTAGCCTTTTGTATTTGTCTCTTGAAGCTGCAAAGCTGTATATAGGAGACATGGTTTGTCTTCCAGTGAAATGTTGTGGATTATGATGAGTGTGAGAACTGGAAGCTGAAACAGGGGAGGGTCTTCTCTTCTCTTCTCTTCTCTTCTCTTCTATTCTCTTCTCTTCTCTTCTCTCCTCTCCTCTCCTCTCCTCTCCTCTCCTCTCCTCTCCTCTCCTCTCCTCCTCTTTCTCCCCTCCCCTCCCCTCCCCTCCCTTCCCTCCCCTTCCATTCCCTTCTCTTCTCCTCCCTTCCCCTCCCCTCCCCTCAGGCAGCAAATAAATTTAATAAATAATAACCCCAGTAGCAGACCGGCCAATCACTGAGAAATTTATACAGATTTAAACAATGGAGTCCTCATTGACCAGAATCTGGATTCCTATATTTGGAATTAACCTGTCTGGTAACATAGATCCTAGGAGGCTCATCCCTTCATTAATACCATACAGTCTACTCCAGCCAGTCTGTTTTTACTCCTGGCTTCCCCAAATTTTGTTCCTCTTGGCTGTTTTCCTTCCTCATTCCTACTAGGAATTTTCAACAAAAATTTCTCCTTTGATAGATTTGGATTTTGAAGCCCAATATCTTAGCCATAACTTAGTATATGCCTATTCAAAAGGAGTGTTTTATTATGGCCGTGTAAAATTAATATTTGAGGTCTTGCCTCTCTTCTCCACAGATGCAGAGATGTGCACAAGATGCCCAGAACATCAGCATCCAAATAAAGACCAAACCAAATGCATCCCCAAAAAAGTAACCTTCTTGTCTTACAAAGAAGACTTGGGGATAATCTTCGCTTCATTTAGCCTCTTCTTATCTTTGGTCACTGCCTTTATCTTAGCAATCTTCATCAAATTCTTAGAAACTCCCATGGTCAAGGCCAACAACCGGGACCTCTCCTATATCCTCCTGGTCTCTCTTCTGTTGTCCTTCTTGACTTCTCTCCTCTTCATTGGTCGTCCAAGGGCAGCCACCTGCATTCTCAGGCAAACATCCTTCAGCATCATCTTCTCTATTGCAGTGTCTTCCATCTTAGCCAAAACGATTACAGTGGTGCTGGCTTTTCTGGCCACAAGACCTGGGAATGCTGTGAGAAGATGGCTGGGAAAGATTTTGGCCAACTCCATTGTTCTTTCTTGCTCTGGTCTCCAAATTGTCATCTGTACCATCTGGCTGGGAGTTTCTCCCCCATTCCCTGAGTCTGACATGCACTCCCAGCCAGAAGAGATTGTTCTGAAGTGCAATGAAGGCTCTGTCACCATGTTTTATGGTGCTCTCTCATACATGGGCTTCTTGGCTGCCATCTGCTTCACGGTGGCTTTCCTGGCCAGGAACTTGCCTGGGGCTTTCAATGAAGCCAAGCTCATCACCTTCAGCATGCTGATCTTCTGCAGTGTCTGGGTCTCCTTTGTGCCCACCTATGTGAGCACCAAAGGAAAATACATGGTGGCTGTGCAGGTCTTCTCCATCCTGGCCTCCAATGCTGGACTGCTGGGCTGCATCTTCATCCCCAAATGCTACATTATTTTGATACGACCTGACTTGAATACAAAGGAGCAACTAACAGCAAAAACTAAAGAGGACTTCAAAGTGAACATAAAACAATTCTAATTGTCATAACCCTCCCAGGTGCGGCTACATCATAGCTTGATTAGATATTCCAGGGGAATTTGGTTAATCTGTTTGAAATGCTCCATGCCTTCCACCACAGTAGAAACTGCTGAAACTGCTGAAATGTTTCTAGATTTTTAGAGGAAAAGCACCATGGCGAGAGCTATATTTTTTTGACTGTACTCTTGATGACATCATGGAAATGTTACAATCTTTTTCAAGCATTATAACACTTTGGCAAAGTTAATTCGTTGGATTCCTCAAAGTTTGTTCAAAAATCTAGATATTCAATATTTTTATGCATTGAAATGTTTGCTTAGTAGTTTATTTATTTATTTATTAAATTTATATACCTCCCATCTCCCCAATAGGGTGAATCTGGGTGGCTTAAAAATGCTGAGGGAGATGGGTGGCCTCAAAACATGAAATATAGATAGATGGATATACATTTAAAAACATTCTAGATGAGACCGGAAAATTGAAAACAAGAGGGGAACTATTAGAAGATGGCATAGAGTTGGAATGGTGGGCATACTTGCAAATACAGTCACGATATAGAAAAGATAAAAAAGAACCTGGGATTAAACTAGAATATACAGAACTAGACAAAATTCTGCTAGGAACTGAAGACAAAATGATAAAGATTTACCAATATTTATTAGAACAAAGCCAGCAGAACAGGTAAAAGATACAATGTTAATTTGGAATAAAAACTTCGGCTATAATATCGAGTTAGATTATTGGCAACTACTATGGGACAGGAATAGGAGATTAACATTAGCTACTTCTTACAAAGAAAATTTATATAAGATGTTTTATAGGTGGCACCTCCCCCCTATAAGGCTAGCAAAAATAGACAAAAAATCTTCACCATTATGTTGGAAATGTAGAAAAATACCAGGGACTTACTATCATATGTGGTGGGAATGCTCAGAAGCTCGAAAATGTTGGCACTTGATAAAGAATTGGTTAGAAGAGATACTATCATTAAAATTTGAAGTAAAACCAGAACTCTTTTTATTAGGGATCACTATGGATAAATTCAGCAAAGGAGCTTTATATTTAATTCTGCACATTTTAACCGCAGCAAGATTAACATATGCTCAAAATTGGAAAAGAAAAGAAACCGCCCCCTGAAGAAGTGGGGTGTCCCATTTTTGTGCTCCGCGGGGCATCGTCATCCCATTTTTGCGCCCTGTGGGACAACAGCATCCCGTTTTTGCACCCCACGGGATGGTGGCATCCCATTTTTGCACCCTGCAGCCATAGCACTAGTGCAAGTGGGTGTGTATGTGCTGTCTAGCCAGCCTGTCCCATGGTAGACAGCAGGCCACAGCCCGGTAGTGGGCCATGGCCCACAGATTGGGGACCCCTGGTTTATGTGGTTTCTTGCCTGTATGGATCCTTTTGTGGCTATTAAGGTAACTGCTGGTTCTGAAATTCTCTCCACATTCATGGTTTTCCCCCAATATGGATCTTTTTATGGGAAGTCTTGCAGAACGGAAGCTCTTTCCATACTTCTAGCATTTATATGGTTTCTCTCCACTGTGGATTCTGTTATGTACAATATATTGATCTCTTTGTCTGTCCACACCTTGGACATATTTCTTTTTCTTGTTGATATTTGACCAAGAAGATACTGATACCTGTACACTGAAAAAGAGAGTATTTTGCCAATCCCCTGTTCAATCAGGAGACCCTACCATTTCAGACAAATGGTTGTCCAGTCTCTTTTTGAAAGCCTCCATTGATGGAACACCCACAACTTCTGCAGGCAAGCTATTTCATTGGTTGATTGCTCTCACCATTAGGAAATTTCTCCTTAGTTCCAGATTGGTTCTCTCCTTGTTGGTTTCCATCTATTGCTTCTTCTCCTGCCTTCTGGTGCTTTGGAGAACAGAACAATTCAAATTGGCACCTGGCAAGTGGTACGTGACCATCCTAGAAAAGAGGTATTGGGGGAGGGGAATGAGCTGAACTGGTGGCAGCACCGCACAAGCCTGAGCGAGAGATGGCTGGAGCTGCAGGGCTGTCAGGGCTCAGCGGAAGCGCCAGGATCAGTGCTGCTTTCCAGCTGATCGACGGTTCTTCGGGACTGTCAGAGCTCAGTGGAAGCGCCAGGATCAGCGCCAGGCTCCAGCTGGAGCTCGGTGCTGATCCTGATGCTTCTGCTGAGCCCTGAAGAAGCACCAATCAGCTGGAAAGCAGAACTGATCCTGGCACTTCTGCTGAGCCCAGAAGAAGTGTTGATCAGCTGGAATGTTGCAGCATCTCCAGGGTCTTGTGATTTACATTCAGATGCTTGGCAACTGATACATATTTATGACGGTCATATTTTCACATGGTCATGTGAAGTGACCAAAACCTGCTGCAACCACCCAGCAGACGGGGGGGGGGGGGAATAAAAACCAAACAGCTCCCACCCCACCCCCGCTGCCAATCCTCAACAGAAATGCTCACAACAATGAAAACCTCGGACAGGAGAAAGAGCGCCGCCGGGTGGGCAGGCAGGTGTCTTGCTCGGCTGTGGCTTCGGGGGCACTTTTTTCAGTGCCACTGTAACTTCGAACAGTCACTAAGCGAACTGTTGTAAGTCGAGGACTACCTGTACTTTATCACTGTTTTCCTTTTTTTTTTGGGTCATCAAGTTTTTCACACCTTGCTAGGCGACTGGTGGTACTCAGATGTTCCCATATCCTAAAAGTGGTAAAATGGGCAAAAAGGTTGAAAAGCACTGTTCTAGTCCAACTTCCTGTTCAAGCAAGCAGACCTTTTACCAGGGGTGTCCAAACTTGGCCACCTCAAGACCTGTGGACCATCTCCCAAAAGTTTCAGTGTTACCAAATCCTTATTGTTTGGGTGGACATTTGTTCAGGGAAAGCTCACAAAGCATCAGAAAACCATGACTGCCTTCGGTTGGTTTCAGAGCAGCTTTTCTCCACCCCTGCACCTGCTCCTGGAGCCCAGGTGCCATATAATTGTGAAAATCATGGTTCCTTCTCCAAATCTTAAGGGAGTTTGTCCAACTATCACCGCTGAATCCCTAAACGTGGAGAGCAGCCTGCTGCCACATATTGAATATTGCCTGATATTCAGTGAGCCAATGTGGTTAGATAGAGATCTGGAGAGGCAACCAAGATGTAAGATCATGGCTTGCTTGTAAAGATGTGATTGCACTCTAACTTTTTTGGAGAGAGATCTATTCCCTGAAATGTTACCAAGTTTTGCCATGAGGACAAAACTGCTCCTCTTACTGTGGCTACTGCTTCTGCTGCCCACCAGAGTCAATGGGAGAAAATGCCCTCTCAACTTCACCAAGGATCGGGATACAGTGTACCATTATTATCGCCCAGGAGATCTCTTGCTTGGTGGGATTGTGCCTCTAAGACCAGGTCAGCTTCTCCCAGCGAGCTTTCGGGAGCCTCTCTTTAACCAGCCAACTGTGTAAGTAGACTTCCAGAGTGCAATTTGTGCTCTTTTGCATGGAAGAAGCTTTCAAGGATATCTAATGTTCCTCTTCATCAGGAATAATCCTCGGGGAAATATTTTCTGTTTTGCCTCTTCTGCTTTTGGAAAGAAGAACCCAAGACTAAATTCTGAGTAGTAATAGTATAGCAATAGTAGGGATACAGTCAGAATGGATCACCGAAGTTATTAATCGAACATCCTGCTCAACTGCAAGATCTGATAAAGCACTGAATGAATATTAAAGTTGTGCTATTTTTGTGGCTTTATGCAGGAAAGGCTATCCATCATACTGGTTCCTTCTCTCCTTTCTTTTTGCCATCCGTGAGATCAACCAGAATCCCCAGGTTTTGCCGAATGTCACCCTGGGTTATGACATTTATGAGAACTATTATGAAGCGAGAATGACTGCTGATGCCTTGGCAGACCTGCTCTCCACTGGACAGGCAAATGTTCCGAACTACATTTGTGGAAGAGAGAAGAGGCTGCTGGCTGTGATTGAAGGGGCTGAGTCCGATATTTCTGTGCAAATTTCCACCATGACGAGCCTCTACAAAATGCCACAGGTATGAATGGAGATGGGGAGAAAAGCCAAGTTTGGAAGTGTCCAGCCCAGGAAAATGTCATGGCACTTAAGACCTCTCGGCCATCCAAACATTAGGGCACTGACTCAGAGAGGACACTGGAACTGAATTTCTCCCCTGCCTTTGGTTACCCTTCAAAAGTATAGAATACTCATCTCCAAATCTTCATTTGAGATCCTCCAGAGAGGCTATTTCTGCACATTTTAGAAGCACAGAATAGAAGTGATACTGGAGATCATATAGTCCAACCTTTCCCTAGTACAGGAATCCACTCTTAAAAGCATCCCTAAAATATTACCATCTAGCCAAAGTGAAAATAGGCACTCTGTTCCACTGTGGAACTAACCATTGTGGAACTCCTCTTATCATTACCAAACTCTTCCAGTTCATACATTGTAACAGATGAATTGGACAGCTGAGGCAATTTATTCCATCACTTCACCTTGGGCAGAAATCAACTATTCCAGCATCTGAGAAATATTGTCCACTTAAATTTTGGTGGAACACTTATAGTGATCTTCAGCTACATCAATATTTACATTTATATCTCTGTGAAAGTGTGCTTGTGTATGTGCACATTAATGATCTTCCATCAAAACTCTGTAAATTTTGACCTAAAAATATTTCCATTCTTATAAGGTCAGCTATGGTTTTGTGTCTGAAACTCTGAATGACAAAACCCGTTTCCCGTTCATCTACCGGATGGTCCCCAAAGAAGACTACTTATATTGGGGAATTGCCAAATTGCTCCATCATTTCAGATGGAACTGGGTTGGTCTCCTTGCACCAGACACTGAGAACGGACAGAGATTCCTACGGACTTTGAGCCCCATATTAACAAGAAACATGATTTGTGTAGCCTTCTCTGTGAACATCCCAACATTGAACTGGAAAATGAGGCTATTGAGCAATGAACCATTTCACTTGTGGAACAAGGTCAGCGTTTTAATATATTATGGAGAAGCTCGCTATTTCTATAGTTTTATACGCATGATTCAAGACTATGTTCAAAGGCACATCAAGCCTCTCCTGGCAAAGGTTTGGATCACTACAACAATGTGGGACCTCTTCATGAATTTATCTTATGAAATACTGTCTCCTCAACATCTCCAGGGTTTCTTCTCTTTCTTAATCCATGCTGGGAAAAGACCACAACATGTTTATGAAACATTTTTCATCCCTATGCAAATTTTTGGCAGAAAGGCATTCAGTTGTTCGTATTCCAAACATCTCTTTTCTGTGAAAGGAAGGATGAGATGCCAGGAGAATGAGGACCTGGAGACCATGCGGGAAGAGGTGGTGGAAAAAACTCTTTCTCTGGATGGCTACGGTATTTACAATCTCGCCTGGGCAGTTACTCGGGCTTCACATGCTGCTTACTTATCCAGGTCCAAGCAGAAAGCAATGAAGGAAAGAGATCACCGGCTGGTCCTTCAGATGTGGCAGGTATTTGGTTTCCTTCAAAAATCCTGAAGGTGAGCTTTCAGGCTTCAAATATATTTTCGATAGTGTGGTGAGTTTAAGATTTCAAAATCAGAATAGAGCTGGAAGGGACCTTGGAGATCTTCTAGTCCAGGCCGTTGCTCAAGCAGCAGACCCAATGCCATTTCAGACAAGTGGCTATCCAATCTCTTCTTAAAAACCTCCAGTGATGTAGCACCCATAACATCTGAAGGTAAGCTGTTCCACTGGTTAATTGTCCTCACTGTTGGGAAGTTTCTCCTTAATTCCAAATTACTTCTCTCCTTGATTAGTTTCCATTCATTGTTTCTTGTCTTGCCTTCTGGTGCTTTGGAAAATAAATTGACCCTCTCCTCCTTGAGGCAGCCTCTCAAATACTGGAATACTGCAATCATGTTCCCCCTAGTCCTTCTTTTCTCTAGACTAGCCATACCCAGTTCCTGCAATGTTCTTCGTATGTTTTAGTCTCCAGGCCTTTAATCATCTTAGTTGCCCTTTTTTGCACTTTTTCCAAAATCTGAACATATTTTTTGTAATGTGGTGACCAAAACTAGATGCAGTACTGGATTTCAAATCCAGACAAAACTGGATTTCAATTGTCTTCCATTTTGTGAAGTTTGTGAGACAGGGAAGCTCCCCCTCATCCTCTTTTGTCATGACTTCTGGACCAGAGTTATATGGATGGTTGTCAACTCTGCTTGGAGAACTTGGTTTTTCTTTTCTCATGTTATTCTTTTGCTTGCCCTTTTAGCTTCATCATTTCCTGGGAGATTTCCACTTCTACAATGTTTGCATGGATGGAGTTTCTCTGGATGAGAAAGGGGACCTTTCTGCCAAATTTGATACTGTGAACTGGGTGCCCTTTCCTAATAAGTCCTTTGGGGCATTGAAGTTTGGGAGGATAGATAGACCACAGGGGTCCAAAGATCTGGAATTCATCCTTGACCAGGAGGCCATAAACTGGTCCCAGAGGTTCAACCAGGTGAGCTGAGAGTCTTCATGTAATGCTCTCCAACCTCTCTTTTGTGTTTCCAGCCAGTTGAGAAATGTTTGGGAAGTGGCTGGAGCTGGGATGAGGGCTTGCTCGGGACCACTATTTCCAATCAAATTGCTAGGCTCCTTGGATCACTGAGTTAGACTCCACAGTCAAGAAGTCAACTGTGGATTAGCCAGATTTAGATGCTACTCGGTTCTTCTTCCTTATTTATGTTCTTACATGTTGTGATTGTATAATTAGTTTCTATGGCTTATGAAGGAAATTTCCCTTCCTTTCTTGGTAGACTTCAATCAAAACAGTGATAATGAGGATGATAATGTTATCTATTCAGTTGTGTCTGATCTCTAACAATTCTATGAGTCAGGTCTCTCCACATCTTCTGATCTTGCATTGTTGCTTTGAGTTTTTCTATGCTCTGTCTGGTGTCAGCTTTGATAGTGTCCAGTCACCATGTTCTTTGATGACCTGGTTTCCCTTTACTGCTAACTCTTCCATACACAATCTCTTTTTCCAGTGAATTCTTTCACACGCATGGCCAAAGTAAATGTCCTTCAGACATTATTCTTTTGGGGGAAGACTTGAACTATTTTCTCTCCAGGCCTTGCAAATATATTAACCACAGGGAAAAAGCTTGCCAACTGTGGTTAATTCAGTCAATATGTTTAAAGAATCCTTGGTTTCATGTAATGAGTGCATCCAATCATATCCATAGCACTTAAGAGTTGTGTGATTAATAACTTTTCCCTTTGAAAGCCACCTAAATTTTGCCCATCAACACATCTTCTGAGAGAACATTTGCCCCACAGATTAGTCCCACTGAAGATGCCACTCCTTTGATTTTTCTTGAGTCTATTTTGTGTCTTCTTTCAGAAATCCCCACTGGTTCTCCTAGGATGCCTGAACAACCATCCCCACATCAGGCATTGTGTTCACAACTTTATTTTGTCCCACCCAGCCCTGCCTTTTTCTTGTCTATTGAACCCCATAGCTGGAAGTAGGCTTGAGAGGTCATCTATTCCAAACCCGTCATCAGCGTAGAATTCTCTGAATCATCTTTGACATCATGCAGGCTGTCTCTGAAGCAAAAGAGAGTTCATGTTACATCTGGAAAAAGAACAGCTATAGCAATAGCACTTAAACTTATATATCACTTCACAGTGCTTTACAGCCCTCTCTAAGTGGTTTACAGAGTCGGCATCTTGCCCCCACCAATCTGGGTCCCCATTTTACCAACCTCAGAAGGATGGAAGGCTGAGTCAACCTTGAGTCGGTCAGCATCAAACTGCTGGCAGTGGGCAGAGTTAGCCTGCAATACTGCATTCTAACCACTGTGTGTTCTGCCCCGCTCACTCACACACACGTAACTGTTGTTTAGTGAGTTTATTAATATTCCCAAACAGTTCCCTTCACCACAACCCAGAACTGTCCCAATTAAGTCCAGCCACGAGCAGACCAAGGTTAGTCCATAGAGCAACCTATCTTTTCCAAGTAGCTGGAAAAAAAATCCCACCCCTGACAAATGCATGCTGTTCCTTCACAGAAAGAGAAATAGACCCGGGAGAAGCAGGAAAAGATTAATGTCTTGTGATTATGGCACTATTTAATCTTCTATGATTGATGTTCCTTCTCTTTGGGTCAGTCTCTGCCTCACTCCAGATGTACCGAAAGCTGTCATCCTGGCCAAGCCAAGGTGGTCCTGGAAGGAAAGCCTCTTTGCTGCTACGGGTGTATCATGTGTGCAAAACACACCATCTCCACTCAGGAAGGTAGGGAACACTATGGGAAAAGGCAGCCCTTGAAGAATGAGGAAGAGAGACTGGACTGGAACGAAACAGAACAGAACAGAACAGAATAGAAAATATAGAATAGAATAGAATAGAATAGAATAGAATAGAATAGAATAGAATAGAATAGAATAGAATAGAAAATTTGGAATGGAATGGAATACTTTATTTTGCCAAATGTGATTAGGCACACAAGGAATTTGTGTCCTTATGTGTCTACTCACACTAGTCACATTAGTTTGGTAGTTTCCAAAGTAAGATAAATAATAATGTATTATTATGTGACTCTGGCAGCAAACAATATTAAAATCAGGTGAAAACAGAAGTTGTGGGTGTTCCATCACTGGAGGTTTTTAAGAAGAGATTACACAGCCATTTCTCTGGAATGGTATAGGATCTTCTGCCTGAGCAGGGGGTTAATAATAATAATAATAATAATAATAATAATAATAATAATAATAATAATAATAATAATAGTAGTAGTAGTAGTAGTAGTAGTAGTAGTAGTAGTAATAGTAATAGTAATAGTAATAGTAAAGTTGGAAGGGACCTTGGAGGTCATCTAGTCCAAGCCCCTGCTCAGGCAGGAAACCCTATACCATTTCGGACAAATGGCTGTCCAGTCTCTTCTTAAAAACTTCCAGTGTTGGAGCATTCACCACTTCTGGAGGCAGGTTGTTCCACTGGTTAATTGTTCTAGCTGTCAGGAAGTTTCTCCTTAGTTCTAGGTTGCTTCTCTCCTTGATTAGTTTCCACCCGTTACTTCTTGTCCTGCCTTCAGGCGCTTTGGAAAATAGGTTTGGACTAGAAGACCTCCAAAGTTCCTTTAATTGAGTTTGGCTTGAAGCTGCAAAGCAGTGCATAGGGCACATGTTTTGTCTTCCAATGTAATGTTGTGGACAATGAGTATAGGCCAGCTGGTACTAATCATAGGATGTTAGTGTGATGTCACATTTCCAATCCTAGCCTTTTGTATTTGTGTCTTGAAGCTGCAAAGCTGTATATAGGAGACATGGTTTGTCTTCCAGTGAAATGTTGTGGATTATGATGAGTGTGAGAACTGGAAGCTGAAACAGGGGAGGGTCTTCTCTTCTCTTCTCTTCTCTTCTCTTCTCTTCTCTTCTCTTCTCTTCTCTTTTCTTCTCTTCTCTTCTCTTCTCTTCTCCTCTCCTCTCCTCTCCTCTCCTCTCCTTTCCTCTCCCCTCCCCTCCCCTCCCTTCTTTTCCCTTCCCTTCCCTCCTCTTGTCTTCTTTTCTCTTCTCTTCTCCTTTGACAGATTTGGATTTTGAAGCCCAATATCTTAGCCATAACTTAGTATATGCCTATTCAAAAGGAATGTTTTATTAGGGCCATATAAAATTAATATTTGAGGTCTTGCCTCTCTTCTCCGCAGATGCAGAGATGTGCACAAGATGTCCAGAAGATCAACATCCAAATAAAGGCCAAACCAAATGCATCCCCAAGAAAGTAACCTTCTTGTCTTACAAAGAAGACTTGGGGATAATCCTCGTTTCATTTAGCCTCTTCTTATGTTTGGTCACTGCCTTTATCTTAGCAATCTTCATCAAATTCTTAGAAACTCCCATGGTCAAGGCCAACAACCGGGACCTCTCCTATATCCTCCTGGTCTCTCTTCTGTTGTCCTTCTTGACTTCCCTCCTCTTCATTGGTCGTCCAAGGGCAGCCACCTGCTTTCTCAGGCAAACATCCTTCAGCATCATCTTCTCTATTGCAGTGTCTTCCATCTTAGCCAAAACGATTACAGTGGTGCTGGCTTTCCTGGCCACAAGACCTGGGAATGCTGTGAGGAGATGGCTGGGAAAGACTTTGGCCAACTCCATTGTTCTTTCTTGCTCTGGTCTCCAAATTGTCATCTGTACCATCTGGCTGGGAGTTTCTCCCCCATTCCCTGAGTCTGACATGCACTCCCAGCCAGAAGAGATTGTTCTGAAGTGCAATGAAGGCTCTGTCACCATGTTTTATGGTGCTCTCTCATACATGGGCTTCTTGGCTGCCATCTGCTTCACGGTGGCTTTCCTGGCCAGGAACTTGCCTGGGGCTTTCAATGAAGCCAAGCTCATCACTTTCAGCATGCTGATCTTCTGCAGTGTCTGGGTCTCCTTTGTGCCCACCTATGTGAGCACCAAAGGGAAATACATGGTGGCTGTGCAGGTCTTCTCCATCCTGGCCTCCAGTGCTGGACTGCTGGGCTGCATCTTCATCCCCAAATGTTACATTATTTTGATACGACCTGACTTGAATACAAAGGAGCAAGTAACGGCAAAAACTAAAGAGGACTTCAAAGTGAACATAAAACAATTCTAATTGGCATAACCCTCCCCAGGTGCGGCTACATCATAGCTTGATTAGATATTCCAGGGGAATTTGGTTAATCTGTTTGAAATGCTCCATGCCTTCCACCACAGTAGAAACTGCTGAAACTGCTGAAATGTTTCTAGATTTTTAGAGGAAAAGCACCATGGCGAGAGCTATATTTTTTTGACTGTACTCTTGATGACATCATGGAAATGATACAATCTTTTTCAAGCATTATAACACTTTGGCAAAGTTAATTCGTTGGATTTCTCAAAGTTTGTTCAAAAATCTAGATATTCAATATTTTTATGCATTGAAATGTTTGCTTAGTAGTTTTACCACTGCCGTTCTCAACATCCTTCAGAGTTGAGAATAGGCTTCCAATATTAATCACACAATATTAAAATAATGAATCATGCAATACGATGTCACAATTCCAGTCTTGGTCCTTTGTATTTGTGTCTTGAAGTTGTGGAGCAGTGCAAAGGACAAATTGTTTGTCTTGCAGTGTCATGTTGTGAACTATAATGGGTGTAAAAATTGGAAGTTGAGACTCAAACTGGGAAGAATCTGCTCTCTTCTTCTTCTTCTCTTCTCTTCTCTTCTCTTCTCTTCTCTTCTCTTTTCTCTTTTTAAAAAATATTTACAAGCTTTTAAACTGGGGTTTGCCATTATAAGATGTTTTAGAGAAGGGAGAATAGCCTAGAGAAGGAAATACTCATAGGAACAGAATGTTAGACAAGGGGAAATGTCAGTCTGGTCTTTGTAGAAAGTAGGCTGAAGGCCAACTTGGTGTTTACAATTTATTGTACCGTACAAGAAACATATAAACATATAAACATATAAACATCCTTGGTACTGGGAGTTATCTTATAAAGCTTAGTAAGATCACACCTAGAAAACTGCAACCAGTTTTGGTCACCACACTATAAAAAAGATGTTGAGACTCTAGGAAAAAGTGCAGAGAAGAGCAACAAAGATGATTAGGGTACTGGAGGCTAAAACATATGAAGAACAGTTACAGGTATGGCTAGTCTAGTGAAGAGAAGGACCGGGGGAGACATGATAGCAGTCTTCCAATATTTGAGGGGCTGTCACAGAGAGGAGGGGGACAACCTATTTTCCAAAGCACCTGAAGGCCAGAGAAGGAACAATGCATGAAAACTAATCAAAGAGAGGTTCAACCTAGAAATAAGGAGAAATTTTCTAACAGTGAGAACAATCAACCAATGGAACAGATTATTGTGGGAGCTTCATCACTGGAAGCTTTCAAGAAGAAACTGGACTGCCATCTGTCAGAAATCATGTAGGGTCTCCTGCTTGGGTGTGTGGGGGGGGGGTTGGACTAGATGACCTGCAAGATCTATTCTATTCTATTCTATTCTATTCTATTCTATTCTATTCTATTCTATTCTATTCTATTCTATTCTAAACCACTATCATCTTCCAGAAGTCCTTGTACTGTCAGACTATTTTACTGCAACTTTCACAACTAATTCCCATCTGGGTATCCCACTGCTGAACCCAGCATATAAATTATTTCCTTTTGTGTTCAGTTACTCTAGAAAGAAACCTCAGTAGCACACCAGCCAATGCATTAAGAAAACAGTAGGGATTTAAACAATGAAATCCTCAGAGGTTGTTTTCATTCCTCTTTCCTACTAGGGAGTTTTCAAAAAAAAAAGTCTGCTATAACAACAAAAAAAACAACAACAATGTTGGAAGGGATCTTGGAGGTCATCTAGTCCAAACCCTAGGAAACCCTATACCATTTCAGACAAATGGTTGTCCAGTCTTTTCTTAAAAACTTTCAGTGTTGGAGAATTCATAGCTTCTAGGGGCAGATTGTTTCTGTGATTAATTGTTCTGTCAGGAAATTTCTCCTTAGTTCTACCGTGTTTTCCCGAAAGTAAGACTCGGTCTTATATTATTTTTGCCTCCAAAAGAGGCATTAGGTCTTATTTTTGTGCAGTGTCTTATATACTGCTCAAAAAAATAAAGGGAACGAAAACTCCTTCAGTTCCATGTTAAAATGTTCCCTTTATTTTTTTGAGCAGTATATTTTGCGTGATACCTGCCTTGCCTAGCGGCGGCGGCACCAACAACCCCATCCAGCAGGAGCCCACATGGCTGCTGGCCCACTTCTGCTGCAGCTGCTCATGGCAGGAGACCACACGGCACATTGCAGTGCTTCTGCCACAATGAGGCGAGGCAGGTGAGGGAGGGGGTGGAACTGTCCCATGTGCCCTGTACCTGCTTCCTTCAGGACCCTCCCCAGCCAGGCCATTCCTTGCTCCATTTCACTCCCCTCCTGAGTCCCTCCAGCGGCGCACAGCAACAGCGGAGCCTTTTGCTCTGAAATGATGGGCAACCAAGCCTACCCCACACCATTCTCCGTATAGTAGCATGGCAGTCCGGCTCGGGAGGGGAGTAAAAGGGAAAAAGGAATGGCCTGGTTGAGGTGGCCCTGAAGGAAGGGGGGGAGGGTGTGTGAGGCAGTTCCACCCCTCCCCCACCTGCCTCATCTCATTGTGGCGGCAGCAGCACAATGTGCCACATGGCCTCCTGCCCCATTGTGGCAACCAGGTGGGACGCAGTGGGCAGGGTCCTAATTAGGGCTTATTTTTGGAGTAAGGCTTATATTAGGCCTATCCCACAAATCAGGGTAGGTCTTTTTTTGGGGGGGGGTTATTTTCGGGAAAACCTGGTAGGTTGCTTCTCTCTTTGGTTAGTTTCTATCTGTTGCTTCTTGTCTTGCCTTCAGGTGTTTTGGAGAATAGCTTGACTCTCTCTTCTTTGTGGCAACCCCTGAGATATTTGTGTCACCCCTCGTCCTTCTCTTCATTAAACTAGACATACCCAATTCCAGCAATTGTTCCTTGTATGTTTTAGCCTCCAGTCCCCTAATCATCTTTGCTGCTCTTCTCTGTACTCTTTCTAGAGTCTCAACATCTTTTTTACATTGTGGTGACCAAAACTGGATGCAGTATTCCAAGTGTGGCCTTACCAAGACATTGTAAAGTGGTATTAACACTTCACGTGATCTTGATTCTATCCCTCTGTTAATGCAGCCTAGTACTGTGTTGACTTTTTTGGAAGCTGCAGCACACTGCTGGCTCATATCCTTTAACAGAGCAAGATTTTGAGGCACAATATCTTAGCCATATGTTATTATATGCCTATTCAAAAGGAGTGCTTTATTATGCCCATGTAAAATAATATTGCTTGTCTTTTTCCCAGATGCAGAGAAGTGCACAAGATGTCCAGAAGATCAGCATCCACATAAAGATCAAACCAAATGTATTCCCAAGAAAGTAACTGTCAACGCTGTGACAATGGATGTCGTCGCTCTGACAACTGAGAATCAGCAGCTATTTTTACTTTTGCTTCTAATGTGCCTTTTCTCTTCTTTTAGAGTTCAGATGTAGAAGGGGGGATGGGGTAAATACGTGATGGTTTAGTTAGCCATAACAATGTAGAAGTGTGGAAACTCAAGGTTTTGGCGGGCTGAGGAGTCGGCAAGAAAAGCCTGCGTCTTGCATTAATTGGGGAATGTGATTTCTTACAGGGTTTGTGGGGTGAGAATTGCCACTTGTTACTTTGTATCTCGGGGGAGGGAATCTCAGTTTTGGGTTCAACTATGTAAGTGCTGATACTTTGTTTCCTAATAAAATGTTCTTTAAGGAAGAATTCTTGCCCTGAAGTTCTTTTAACAGTTTCATCTATCGGAACCATGTCAGTAGCCTTCTTGTCTTACAAAGAAGACTTGGGGATAATTCTGGCTTCCTTTAGCTTCATCTTGTCTTTGGTCACAGCCTTTGTATTAGCAATTTTCATCAAATTCTTAGACATTCCCATACTCAAAGCCAACAACCGGGACCTCTCCTACATCCTCCTAGACTCTCTTCTGCTGTCCTTTTTGACTTCCTTCCTCTTCATTGATTGTCCAAGGGCAGCCACCTGCGTTCTTAGACAAACTTCCTTCAGCATCATCTTCTCTGTTGCCATCTCTTCCATCTTAGCCAAAACAATTACATGGTGCTGGCTTTCCTGGCCATGAAACCTGGGAATGCTGTGAGGAGATTGCTGGGAAAGACTTTGTCCAACTTCATTGTCCTTAATTGCTCTGGTCTTCGTCATCTGCACCATCTGTCTGGGAGTTTCTCCCCTGAGTCTGATATGCAGTCCCAGCCAGAAGAGATTGTCCTGAGGTACAATGAAGGCTCTATCACCATGATTTATGGTGACTTCTCATATATGGGCTTCCTGGCTGCCATCTACTTCACTGTGGCTTTCCTGGCCAGGAACTTACCTAGGGCTTTCAATGAAGCCAAGATGATCACCTTCAGCATACTGGTCTTCTGCAGTGTTTGGGTATTTTTTGTCCCCAACTTCCTGAGTACCAAAGGGAAATACGTGGTGGCTGTGCAGGTCTTCTCCATCCTAGCCTCCAGTGCTGACTGCTGGGCTGCATCTTCTTCCCCAAATGCTACATTATTTGATATGACTTGACTTGAATACAAAGGAGCAGCTAACCGCAAAAAGTAGAGATAGTTTGAGAGTGAATGAAAAGTAATCCTAATTATCATAAACCTCTCAGATGCTGCTACATCATAGCATGATTCAAATTCAGGGGAATTTAGTGTATTTATTTGAATAGCTCCATGCCTTCCACTAGTGAAGAAGGTGTTGAAAATGTTGAAACATGCCTAGACTCTTAGGGAGAAAGGCAAGAGCTGTATTTCCTGACTGTCCTCCAAATGACTGATCCAGTTATAACCTAGAAGACAGCACAGACATGTTAAACACTTCTTGAAATA